TGTTAAGTGAGAGCATGTCTAAGTTAAGAGTAGAAGTCTCAGTGTAATATTTGTCTCCTAACTGGTGTTAAGTAGACGTATCTAATTTAGAGTAGAAATTCCAGTGTAATGTTGTCTCTAACTGGTGTTAAGTGAACGTATCTAGTTAGAGTAGAGTCTCAGTGTAGTGTTGTCTCTAACTAATTGAAGTGAACGTATCTAGTTAAGAGTAGAGTCTCCCAGTGTATGTCTCTAACTGAGTGTTAAGTGAACGTATCTAGATAGAGTAGAGTCTCAAGTGTGTAATATGTGTAAGTAGACATGTCTAATGAATAGGTAGAGAGTCTCCAGTGTAATGTTGTCTCCCTAACTAGTGTGTTAAGTGAACGTATCTAGTTAGGTAAAATCTCCCAGTATAGTATTTGTCTCCTAACTGGTGTGTTAAGTAGACGTATCTAGTTAAGGTAGAGTCTCCAGTGTAATGTTGTCTCTAACTGGTGTTAAGTGAACGTATCCTAGTTAAAGGTAGAGAGTCTCCAGTGTAGTGTTGTCTCCTAACTTCAGTGTTAAGTAGGCGTATCTAGTTAGAGTAGAGTCTCGGTGTGTGTGTGTCTCCTAACTGGTAAGTGGGCGTATCTAGTTAAGGTAGAATCTCAGTGTAATGTTGTCTCCTGCTGGTGTTAAGTAGACATCTAGTTAAGGTAGAGTCTCAGTGTGAAGTGTTGTCTCCTAACTGGTGTTAAGTGAACGTATCTAGTTAAGGTAGAGTCTCAGTGTAATGTTGTCTCCTAACTGGTGTTAAGTAGACGTATCTAGTTAAGAGTAGAGTCTCAGTGTAATGTTGTCTCCTAACTAGTGTTAAGTGAACGTATCTAGTTAAGGTAGAGTCTCGAGTGTAGTGTTGTCTCTAACTGAGTGTTAAGTGAACGTATCTAGTTAAGGTGGAGTCTCCAGTGTAATATTTGTCTCCTAACTGGTGTTAAATGAACGTATCTAATTCTAGAGTATTAAGTCTCAGTGTAATATTGTCTCTAACTGGTGTTAAGTAGACGTATCTGGTTAAGGTAGAGTCTCGTGTAAATGTTGTCTCCTAACTGGTGTTAAGAGTGAGCGTATCTATGGATCTAAGGTAGAATCTCAGTGTAATGTCTCCCTAACTGGTGTTAAGTGAACGTATCTAGTTAAGGTAAAGTCTAATTGTGAAATATTTATCTCTTTGGTACAAGTGAACGTATCTAGTTAAGGTAGAATCTCAATTAACAATGTTGTCTCTAACTGGTGTTAAGTGAACGTATCTAGTTAAGGTAGAAGTCTCAGTGTAAGTGTTGTCTCCTAGCACAGTATTAAGTGAACGTATCTAGTTAAGAGTAGAGTCTCCAGTGTAATAGTGTCTCCTAACTTCTAGTGTTAGTGAACGTATCTGAATTAGGTAAAAGTCTGGGTATAATGTTGTCCGCCTAACTAGTGTTAGTAGAACGTATCTAGTTAAGAGTAGAATCTCCGTTAATGTTGTCTCCTAACTGGTGTTAAAAGTAGACGTATCTGGTTAAGGTAGAGTCTCAGTGTAATGTTGTCTCTAACTGAGGTGTTAAGTGAACGTATCTAGTTAGTGAAGTCTCTCAGTGTAATGTTGTCTCTAACTGGTGTTAAGTAGACGTATCTAGTTTAGAGTAGAGTCTCAGTGTAATATTTGTCTCTAACTGGTGTTAAGTGAACGTATCTAGTTAAAAATGGGAGTCTCAGTGTAATGTTGTCTCCTAACTGGTGTTAAGTGAACGTATCTAGTTAAGGTAGAGTCTCAGTGTAATGTTAATGTTTTTTTTTTCTGTGCTTTATCTTAAGTCAACAAGTTAAATATTTATAAACCAAAAGTGTCCATCAGTTTGAGAAGTCAGCCCTTGGAGATAACTTCTCCTGTGTCGTAAATAAAGTAAAATCATTTTTTCTTTCAGTCACGAGAAATTCCGTCAAAAAAATAGGAAGAGTTGGAGAAAGTGATTGACGTGTAGGTGAGTTACGCCGGACTTTCACAACAAAAGCGTGGTGGCATTGATCTTGTCATTAGAAGTTGAAGGAAAAACTAGATAGTGAAAAATAAAGAAGCACCGATGGGGGGAGGGAGGCTGAGGCATTTAACAATCAGTTATAGACGGATTACCTGTTATTACACACACACACACACACACACACACACACACACACACACACACACACACACACTCCCACACACACACACACACACACACACACACATTACATCTGTATCATTTAAGGTAGAGTCCTGTGTTAAGTTATACGTTTTCGGTCTACACCATGATAGACGGTACAAACAACGGTCTACACCATGATAGACGGTACAAACAACGGTCTACACCATGATAGACGGTACAAACAACGGTCTACACCATGATAGACGGTACAAACAACGGTCTACGATAGTTGTGTACATGATGCCAAAGCTTTATGTAGTGTGAACGATGTACAGCGTCACCAATATGTTCACCAGTATAAAGTTGTACTCTACTATCACACCAGTATAGCCCACAGTATAGCCCACAGTATAGCCCACAGTATAGCACACAGTATAGCACACAGTATAACCCACAGTATAGCACACAGTATAGCACACAGTATAGCCCACAGTATAGCCTACAGTCTCGCACACAGTATAGCACACAGTATAACACAGTATAGCACACAGTATAGCCCACATATAGCACTCAGCATAACCCACAGTATAACACACAGTATAGTACAGTATAGCCCACAGTATAGCAGTCTACACAGTATAGCACACAGTATAACCCACAGTATAGCACACAGTATAGCCCACAGTATAGCACTCAGCATAACCCACAGTATAGCACTCAGATAACCCACAGTATAGCCACAATTATAGCCCACATTGGCCCAAGTATAGCACACAGTATAACCCACAGTATAGCACTCAGCATAACCCACAGTATAGCACTCAGCATAACCCACAGTATAGCCCACAGTATAGCCACAGTATAGCCCACAGTATAGCACACAGTATAGCACACAGTATAACCCACAGTATAGCACACAGTATAGCCACAGTATGGCACTCAGCATAACCACAGTATAGCACTCAGCATAACCCACAGTATAGCCCACAGTATAGCCCACAGTGTAGCCCACAGTATAGCACACAGTATAGCACACAGTATAACCCACAGTATAGCACTCAGCATAACCCACAGTATAGCACTCAGCATAACCCACAGTATAGCCCACAGTATAGTACAGTATAGCACACAGTATAGCACTCAGTATAACCCACAGTATAGCACTCAGCATAGCCCACAGTATAGCCCACAGCATAGCACTTTTATCACAGGATCAGGTATCAGTACAGTGCCTTATTGGTGTAGTCTCGGGCCCAGACGAGGTAATTCAGCTGATGGTATTAACGTTACCAAACACTAACGCGGTTATCGTTGTAAACATTCCTTGTCAATAATGATGAGATTAAATGAATACTCAACTTAAAATGCACATATAGATAATTATTAAGAAAAACTCATTTACATATGATTAAATACAGAAAAATAATGTATGAAAGTTTACCAATAGCTTAAATTAAGATACAGACTGATGTATTCCTCATTAAATATTCAATATACAATAAGTCTAGTAATCAACTTTTCACTAGACATAACCATTCTACTTATAACTTAACTCCTTCTCAAGTGAAATTATATCATAATTAATAGTGTGGTTCACCTTAGCTGTTATGGCTCAGCCTCTTACATGTTGAAAATAAACCTATTGTCAATGATCTCAGGTAAATGGTGATTAATTATACAGGTATTTAGTTAACATTTTACAGCAGGATTACAGACAGGTTACATAATACTGACCATAGTTACAGCTGGATTACAGACAGGTTACATAATACTGACCATAGTTACAGCAGGATTACAGACAGGTTACATAATACTGACCATAGTTACAGCAGGATTACAGACAGGTTACATAATACTGACCATAGTTACAGCAGGATTACAGACAGGTTACATAATACTGACCATAGTTACAGCAGGATTACAGACAGGTTACATAATACTGACCATAGTTACAGCAGGATTACAGACAGGTTACATAATACTGACCATAGTTACGTTAAGGATTACAGACAGGTTACATAATACTGACCATAGTTACAGCAGGATTGAAGGTTTATACATAATACTGACCATAGTTACAGCAGGATTGCAGACAGGTTACATAATACTGACCATAGTCATGTTAGGATTACAGACAGGTTACATAATACTGACCATAGTTACAGCTGGATTACAGACAGGTTACATAATACTGACCATAGTTACAGCTGGATTACAGACAGGTTACATAATACTGACCATAGTTACAGCTGGATTACAGACAGGTTACATAATACTGACCATAGTTACAGCAGGATTACAGACAGGTTACATAATACTGACCATAGTTACAGCAGGATTACATAATTGGCATAAAAGTCTAGGCCAAGGTAAGGGAAAACTACAGAACTGGTTACATAATCCTGATCACGTTACAGTAAAACTACAGATACAGGCTACAAAACGTTACATTGTACTAAAAAAAAATAGACATCCAGTTAGAACTACAAGATGGATGACCACGACGGATGACCACGACGGATGACCACGACGGATGACCGAGACGGATGACCACGACGGATGACCACGACGGATGACCGACGACGGATGACCACGACGGATGACCACGACGGATGACCGACGGATGACTACGACGAAGACCATGACGGATGACCATGACGGATGACCACGACGGATGACCACGACGGATGATCACGACGGATGACACGACGGATGACCACGACGCAAGACCGACGGATGACCACGACGGATGACCACGACGGATGACCACGACGGATGACACATATCAACCTTAGCAGAACAATACTAGGAACAATAAACAATATAACCAATGAAGGGGTGAACACTTATGGCCGCCGGTGTAGGCGTGGTACAGGTCATCAAGGCGTGGTACAGGTCATCAAAGGCGGGTACAGGTCCATCAAGGCGTGGTAGCAGGCCATCAAGACGGCAGGTCATCAAGGCGTGGTACGTCATCAAGGCGTGGTACAGGTCATCAAGGCGTGGTACAGGTCATCAAGGCGTGGTACAGGTCATCAAGGCGTGGTACAGGTCATCAAGGCGTGGTACAGGTCATCAAGACGTGGTACAGGTATGGCGTGGTACAGGTCATCAAGGCGTGGTACAGGTCATCAAGGCGTGGTACAGGTCATCAAGGCGTGGTACAGGTCATCAAGGCGGTACAGGTCATCAAGGTGTGTACAGGTCATCAAGGCGTGGTACAGGTCATCAAGGCGTGGTACAGGTCATCAAGGCGTGGTACAGGTCATCAAGGCGTGGTACAGGTCATCAAGACGTGGTACAGGTCATCAAGGTGTGGTACAGGTCATGGCGGGGTACAGTCATCAAGGCGTGGTACAGGTCATCAAGGCGTGGTACAGGTCAAGGCGTGGTACAGGTCATCAAGGCGTGGTACAGGTCATCAAGGCGTGGTGTGCAGGTCATCAAGGCGTGGTACAATCACAAGGCGTGGCAGGTCATCAAGGCGGCAGGTCATCAAGGCGTGGTACAGGTCATCAAGGCGTGGTACAGGTCATCAAGGTGTGGTACAGGTCATCAAGGCGTGGTACAGGTCATCAAGGCGTGGTACAGGTCATCAAGGCGTGGTACAGGTCATGGCGTGGTACAGGTCATCAAGGCGTGGCAGGTCATCAAGCGTGGTACAGGTCAAAGGCGTGGTAGGTCATCGGCGTGGTACAGGTCATCAAGACGTGGTACAGGTCATCAAGGCGGTACAGGTCATCAAGGCGTGGTACAGGTCATCAAGGCGTGGTACAGGTCATCAAGGCGTGGTACAGGTCATCAAGGCGTGGTACAGGTCATCAAGGCGTGGTACAGGTCATCAAGGCGTGGTACAGGTCATCAAGGCGTGGTACAGGTCATCAAGGCGTGGTACAGGTCATCAAGGCGTGGTACAGGTCATCAAGGCGTGGTACAGGTCATCAAGGCGTGGTACAGGTCATCAAGGCGTGGTACAGGTCATCAAGGCGTGGTACAGGTCATCAAGGCGTGGTACAGGTCATCAAGGCGTGGTACAGGTCATTAAGGCGTGGTACAGGTCATTAAGGCGTGGTACAGGTCAATACGTGGTACAGGGGTCATCAAGGCGTGGTACAGGTCATCAAGGGTGTGGTACAGGTCATCAGGCGTGGTACAGGTCATCAAGGTGGTACAGGTCATCAGGTACAGGTCATCAAGGCGTGGTACAGGTCATCAAGGCGTGGTACAGGTCATCAAGGCGTGGTACAGGTCATCAAGGCTTGGTACAGGTCATCAAGGCGTGGTACAGGTCGTCAGGCGTGGTACAGGTCATCAAGGCGTGGTACAGGTCATCAAGACGTGGTACAGGTCATCAAGACGTGGTACAGGTCATCAAGGCGTGGTACAGGTCATCAAGGCGTGGTACAGGTCATCAAGACGTGGTACAGGTCATCAAGGCGTGGTACAGGTCATCAAGGCGTGGTACAGGTCATCAAGGCGTGGTACAGGTCATCAAGACGTGGTACAGGTCATCAAGGCGTGGTACAGGTCATCAGGCGTGGTACAGGTCATCAAGGCGTGGTACAGGTCATCAAGGCGGTACAGGTCATCAAGGCGTGGTACAGGTCATCAAGGCGTGGTACAGGTCATCAAGGCGTGGTACAGGTCATCAAGGCGTGGTACAGGTCATCAAGGCGTGGTACAGGTCATTAAGTCGTGGTACAGGTCATCAAGACGTGGTACAGGTCATCAAGGCGTGGTACAGGTCTATCAGGCGTGGTACAGGTCATCAAGGCGTGGTACAGGTCATCAAGACGTGGTACAGGTCATCAAGGCGTGGTACAGGTCAAGGCGTGGTACAGGTCATCAAGGCGTGGTACAGGTCATCAAGGCGTGGCACAGGTCATCAAGGCGTGGTACAGGTCATCAAGGCGTGGTACAGGTCATCAAGGCGTGGGACAGGTCATCAAGTCGTGGTACAGGTCATCAAGGCGTGGTACAGGTCATCAGGCGTGGTACAGGTCATCAAGGCGTGGTACAGGTCATCAAGGCGTGGTACAGGTCGTCAAGGCGTGGTACAGGTCGTCAAGGCGTGGTACAGGTCATCAGGCGTGGTACAGGTCATCAAGGCGTGGTACAGGTCATCAGGCGTGGTACAGGTCGTCAAGGCGTGGTACAGGTCATGGGCGTGGTACAGGTCGTCAAGGCGAATTACGGTCATCAAGACGTGGTACAGTCATCAAGGCGTGGTACAGGTCATCAAGGCGTGGTACAGGTCATCAAGACGTGGTACAGGTCATCAAGACGTGGTACAGGTCATCAAGACGTGGTACAGGTCATCAAGGCGTGGTACAGGTCATCAAGGCGTGGTGCTGAAAGGTCGTGGAGCAGGTCGTATCATCATGGTGACCTCCCGCAGGCCGACGATGTGTTTCCAGGTCCGCCACACGATGGCGTGGTGGCCGCTCGCATTAGGAGGGAGAGCGGCGCCTGTGAGGTGTGACTGATAACAGCTGAAGTACCACCACCCACCACCATGTTTACGAGCACAATGTTCTGTCGGAGGAGAAGCTGTATTATGTATCCTAACCTAATCTAACCTAACCTAACCTAACCTATACCTATACCTATACCTAAACCTACCACTTACTTAAACCAAGTAAACAAGGCGTACTTGCTCGTAACAAGGCTAATAAAGGACTTGGGTTCATACAAAGGAGTGTTAGTTACAAGACTAGCGGGTCATCCTAAACTTATATCTTGCTCTTGAGACCTCACTTGGATTACTCAGTTCAGTTCTGGTCACCACATGTGAATGGATATAGAATCCTTGGAAAGAATCAGGGAGAATGACAAGACTAATCGGGCATTAGGACCTTGAGTACAGAGACAGGTTAAGCATCTTAATTTGCACTCCTCGAGAGACGTAGAGTGAGGGGCGATATGATAGAGGTGTATAAATGGAAGTCAGGTCTAACAAAGGTGATATAACAAAGGTACTCAAACTGTCCAACAGGAGCGAACTCCAAATAATGGCTGTAAATTAGACAAAATTAGATTTGGGCGCGAGATAGGTAAACACTGGTTTGGAAATAAGTAGTGGACAGGTGGAACAAGTTACCAAATATCATCATTAACTCGAATACACTGGGTAGCTTCAAACACAGGTTGGATGGGTATAGAGCAATAGGGGTTGGGTGTAAATGGGACTGCCCAGTATGGGTCAATAGACTCGCTGCAGTTTCCTCCATTCTTATTATTTTATGTTGTTAAGTTAACAATTTAATTTAATCTCATTAACCTAACCTTAACTGACTTGCGTGCACTAACACACACAGGTAAAACACACACACACAGGTAAAAACACACACACACAGGTAAAACAACACACACACAGGTAAAACACACACACACAGGTAAAACACACACACACACAGGTAAAACACACACACACAGATGAAAAACACACATACAGGTTAAAACACACACACACAGGTAAAACACACACACATACAGGTTAAAACACACACATACAGGTAAAAACACACACATACAGGTAAAACACACACATACAGGTAAAAAACACACACATACAGGTAAAACACACACACAACAGGTAAAACACACACACATACGGGTAAAACACACACATACAGGTAAAAACACACACATACAGGTAAAACACACATATAGGTAAACACACATACAGATTAAAACACACACATACAAGTTAAAACACACACACACAGGTAAAACACACACATACAGGTAAAACCACACACATACAGGTAAAACCACACACACAGGTAAAAACACAAACATACAGGTTAAAACACACATACAGGTAAAACACACACATACAGGTAAAACACACACATACAAGTAAAACACACACATACAGGTAAAACACACTAACACAGGTAAAACACACTACATACAAATTAAAACCAAACATACAAAAACACAAACATACAAATTAAAACACACACACATGCAGGTAAAAACACACACATACAGGTAAAACACACACATACCAGGTAAAACACACACATACAGGTAAAACACACACATACAGGTAAAAACACACATGCAGGTAAAACACACACACACAGGTAAAACACACACACACAGGTTAAAAACACACACACACAGGTAAAACACACACACACACAGGTAAAACACACACATACACACATATGGTAAAACACACACACATACAGGTAAAACACACACACACAGGTAAAACACACTAACACAGGTAAAACACACACACACAGTTAAAACACACACACAGGTAAAACACACACATACAGGTAAAACACACACACACAGGTAAAACCACACTAACACAATTAAAACCACACACATACAGGTAAAAACACACACACAAGTAAAACACACACATGAATTAAAACACACACATGCAGGTAAAACACACACACACAGGTTAAAAACACACACATACAGGTAAAACCAAACATACAGATAAAACACACACACATACAGGTAAAACACACTAACACAGGTAAAACACACACACACAGTAACACACACATACAGGTAAAACACACACACACAGATTAAAACACACACACAGGTAAAACACAAAACATCAGATTAAAACACACACATACAGATTAAAACACACACACACAGGTAAACACACACACACACAGGTAAAACACACACACACTGGGTAAAACACACACACATACAAATTAAAACACACACATACAGGTAAAACACACACATACAGGTAAAACACACACATACAGGGTAAAACACACACATACAGGTAAAAACACACACATACAGGTAAAACACACACACACACACAGGTAAAACACACTAACACAGGTAAAACACACACACACAGGTAAACACACACATACAGGTAAAACACATACAGGTAAAACACACACACACAGGTAAAATACACTAACACAGGTAAAACACACACATACAAGTTAAAACACACACACACACAGGTTAAAACACACACATACAAGTAAAACACAAACATACCAGGTTAAAAACACACATACAGGTTAAAACACACACACACAGGTAAAACACACACACACAGGTAAAACACACACATCAAGTTAAAACACACACACACACAGGTAAAACACACATACAGGTAAAACACAAACATACGGGTAAAACACACACATACAAATTAAAACACACACATACAGAATTAAAAACACCACAGGTAAAACACACACACACAGGTAAAACACACACATACAGGTAAAACACACACACACACAGGTAAAACATACACATGCAGGCAAAACACAAACATACAGGTAAAACACACAACATACAGGTTAAAACACACACATGCAGATTAAAACACACACACACAGGTAAAACACACACACACAGGTAAAACACACACATACAATTAAAACACACACATACAGATAAAACACACACATACAGGTAAAACACAAACATACAGGTAAAACACACACATACAGGTAAAACACACTTATGAATTAAAACACACTAACACAGATTAAAACACACACACACAGATTAAAACACACACATACAGGTTAAAACACACACACAGGTAAAACACACACATACAGGTAAAAAACCACAAACATACAGGTTAAAACACACACACATACAGGTTAAAAAACACACACACACAGGTAAAACACACACACATGCAATTAAAAACACACACATACAGATAAAAAACACACACATACAGATTAAAAACACACACATACAGGTAAAACACACACATCAGGGTAAAACCACACACACAGTTAAAACACAAACATACAGAAATACAACTACACACAGGTAAAACACACACATACAGGTAAAACACACACATACAGATAAAACACACACACGAGTTAAAACACACACATACAGGTAAAACACACACACACAGGTAAAACACACTAACACAGGTAAAAACACACACACACAGGTAAAACACACACACACAGATAAAACACACACCACAGGTAAAACACACACACTACAGAATTAAAAACACACACATACAGGTAAAACACACACATACAGGTAAAACACACACATACAGGTAACACACACATACAGGTAAAACACACACATACAGGTAAAAACACACACACACAGGTAAAACACACACACACAGGTAAAACACACACACACACAGATAAAACACACACACACAGGTAAAACACACACACACAGGTAAAACACACACATACAGGTAAAACACACATACAGATAAAACACACACACACAGGTAAAACACACACATACAGGTAAAACACACACACATACAGGTAAAACACACACACACAGGTAAAACCACACACACACAGGTAAAACACACACATGCAAGTAAAACACACACACACAGGTAAACACACACACAGGTAAACACACATACAGGTAAAACACACACACACAGGTAAAACACACACATACAGGTAAAACACACACCAAGATCACTAACCATAATCTCTGTCATTATCATTGTCATAAGTTGAGAAGCGATGATTGTTGTGATGGTGTAATGAATCCCCCTTTGCTGCCTTCCTCGTACCGCCCACATCCAACTTATAGTGATCGCTTCGCTCCCAACCCTGTCGGTATACCTCTTGTTACAACTACAACACTACAACCTTGTTTACACTACAACACTATAACCTTCTCTACCTACAACACTATAACCTTCTCTACCACTACAACACTACAACCTTCTCTACCACTACAACACTACAACCTTCTCTACCACTACAACACTACAACCTTCTCTACCACTACAACACTATAACCTTCTCTACCACTACAACACTATAACCTTCTCTACCACTACAACACTACAACCTTCTCTACCACTACAACACTATAACCTTCTCTACCACTACAACACTACAACCTTCTCTACCACTACAACACTACAACCTTCTCTACCACTACAACACTATAACCTTTCTACCACTACAACACTACCCTTCTCTCACACTACAACACTACAACCTTCTCTCACCACTACAACACTACAACCTTCTCTACCACTACAACACTACAACCTTCTCTACCACTACAACACTACAACCTCTCACACTACAACACTACAACCTTCTCTACCACTCAACTTATAACCTTCTCTACCACTACAACCTACAACTATCTCACACAACCTTTCTCTCTACCACTACAACACTATAACCTTCTCTACCACTACAACACACAACCTTCTCCTCCTTTACAACACTACAACCTTCTCTACCACTAGAACACTATAACCTTCTCTACCACTACAACACTACAACCTTTCCTACCACTACAACACTACAACCTTTCTACCACTACAACACTACAACCTCTCTACCACTACAACACTACAACCTTTCTACCACTACACACTACAACCTTCTCTACACTACAACACTACAACCTTCTCTCACACTACAACACTACAAACCTTCTACCACTACAACACTATAACCTTCTACCACTACAACACTACAACCTTTCACCACTACAACACTACAACCTTTCTACCACTACAACATCACAACCTTTCTACCATCAACCTTCTCACACTACAACACTACAACCTTTCTACCACTACAACACTACAACCTTTCTCTACCACTCAACACTACAACCTTCTACCACTACAACCTTTCTCTCCACTACAACACTACAACCTTCTCTCCACTACAACACTACAACCTTGTCTCACACTACAACACTACAACCTTCTACCACTACAACACTACAACCTTCTCTACCACTACAACCTTCTCTCACACTACAACACTACAACCTTCTCTGCCACTACAACACTACAACCTTGTTCCTCACACTACAACACTATAACCTTTCTCACACACTACAACACTACAACCTTTCTACCACTACAACACTACAACCTTCTCTCACACTACAACACTACAACCTTCTCACACTACAACACTACAACCTTCTACCACTACAACACTACAACCTTCTACCACTACAACACTATAACCTTTCTACCACTACACACTACAACCTTCTCTCACACTACAACACTACAACCTTCTACCACTACAACACTACAACCTTCTACCACTACAACACTACAACCTTCTACCACTACAACACTACAACCTTTCTACCACTCACACAACCTTCTCTCACACTACAACACTATAACCTTTCTACCACTACAACACTACAACCTTCTACCACTACAACACTACAACCTTTCTACCACTACAACACTATAACCTTCTCTACCACTACAGCACTACAACCTTCTCACCACTACAACACTATAACCTTTCTACCACTACAACACTACAACCTTCTACCACTACAACACTACAACCTTCTCTACCACTACAACCTTCTCACACAACACTATAACCTTCTCTACCACTACAACACTATAACCTTTCTACCACTACAACACTACAACCTTTCTCTCACACTACAACACTACAACCTTCTCTCACACTACAACACTACAACCTTCTCTACCACTACAACACTACAACCTTTCTCTACCACTACAACACTACAACCTTTCTACCACTACAACACTACAACCTTCTTCACACTACAACACTACAACCTTCTCTCACTACAACACTACAACCTTTCTACCACTACAACACTACAACCTTTCTCACACTACAACACTACAACCTTCTTCTCTACCAACACTACAACCTTCTACCACACTACAACACTACAACCTTCTCTCACACTACAACACTACAACCTTCTACCACTACAACACTATAACCTTTCTCTACCACTACAACACTACAACCTTCTACCACTACAACACTACACAACCTTCTCTACCACTACAACACTACAACCTTCTCTAACACTACAACCTTTCTCACACTACAACACTACAACCTTCTCTCACACTACAACACTACAACCTTCTCTCCACTACAACACTACAACCTTCTCTACCACTACAACACTACAGCAGCTTTACCACTACAACACTACCAAGCTTCTCTGCACTACAACTTTCACAACCTTCTCTACCACTCAACACCTACAACTTCTCTACCACTACAACACTACGGCCTTCTCCCCTAACACTTTCAACTTCTCTCCACACTACCTTCTACCTTCTACCAACACTACAACCTTCTCTGTCACTACAACACTACAACCTTCTCTACCACTACAACACTACAACCTTCTCCTACCTACAACACACAACCTTCTCTCCCTTTCTGCTTGCTTCTTCTCTACCACAACCTAGCCTTCTCTACCACTACAACACTACAACCTTCTCTACCACTACAACACTACAATATTCTCTACCACTACAGCCTTCTCACACTACAACACTATAACCTTCTCTACCACTACAACCTTCTCTTTCTGCCTTCTCTGCCACTACAACCTTTCTACCACTACAACACTATAACCTTCTACCACTACAACACTATATTCTCTCTGGCTCTACTATCTCTGCCTTTCTGACACTATAATATTCTCTGCGACTACAACCTACTTGAGCCTTTCTGCCACAACAATCACTACCAACCTGGCTTCTCTACCACTACAACCTATGACCTTCTCTGCCACTACAACACTACAACCTTATACTCGCACACAACACTTTTTACCACTGGCACTGACCTTCTCTCCACTACAACACTGTAACCTTCTCTGCCACTACAACACTACAACCTTCTCTCACACTACAACACTACAACCTTCTCTTTTCTGACACTACATATTCTCTCACTACAACCTTTCTGTATTCTCTCAACCCCTACAACCTTCTCTCTGCTTTCTAACTTTTTCTACCTCTGCCACTACCAACACTCTATTATTCTCTCACACTGCAACACTACAACCTTCTCTGCCACTACCCAACTATTTCTCTGCCATTGACAATACTCCTTCTGGCTTTCTGACCTTCTCTCACTTATCACACTGCAACACTATAACTTTTCTCTCACTCTTTCACCTGCAACCTTCTCTGCTACTTTCTGTACCAATATACCACTACAATACCTGACCTTCTCCTCCACTACAACACTACAACCTTCTCTACCACCACAACACTGTAACCTTCTCTACCACTACAACACTATAAGCCTTCTCTCCACTGCAACACTACAACCTTCTCTGCCACTACAAAGTCACTGGCCTTCTCTGCCACTGCAACACAACCTTCTCTGCCACTGCAACACTGCTTCTGCCACTGCCTCTACTTCTCTGCCACTGCCTTCTCTACTGCTTACTGCAACCTTCTCTGCCACTACAACACACCAGCCTTCTCCTACCACTACAGCCTTCTCTGCCACTGCCTTCCTAGCCTTCTCTACCACTACAACTATAGCTTTACGCCTGTGCCTTGTCTCTGCCACTTTCTGACATTCTCTGCCACTACAGCACTACAACCTTTCTGCCACTACCCAGCACTATATTTATTCTCTCTGCCACTTTCTACACTATAACCTTCTCTCCACACTGTACTATTATTCTCTGCCACTGCAAAATTGTAACCTTTCTGCCACTTCCACCCAACACTGCAACCTTCTCTGCCACTGCCACTATAGCCTTCTCTCACACTGCTTTTCAGCCTTCTCTACCACTACAACACTATAGCCTTCTCTACCACTGCAACACTGTGTCTCCACTGCTTACTACAGCCTTCTCTGCCACTACACTATAGCCTTCTCTGACCACTACACACTACAGCCTTTCTGCCACTGCAACAGCTGCCTTCTCTACCACTTTTAACCCTGCAACCTTCTCTACCACTACAACACTGTGTCTCTGCCACTTACAACACTGGCCTTCTGCTACAACACTGCCTTATTCTCACCACTACAACACTATCTCCCAGCCACTGCAACTTTTCTGTTATTCTCTCTTTTCCCAGCCTTTCTCTCTCACACTTTTAGCCTTTCTGACCCTACTCTTTTCCAACACTGCAACCTATCTCTACCACTACAACACTACAACCTTCTCTCACCTACCCCTACAACCTTCTCTCACACTACAACACTACAACCTTCTCTCACCTACTTACACTACAACCTTCTCTCACACTACAACACTACAACCTTCTCTCCTACCCACTACAACAACCTTCCTCACACTACAACATGTACTAACACTTCACGACGTTAATTTAATGTCTATAAAATGTATAATATATTCATAGGAACAACGGAAATATTATCACACGAAGACGAACACACACACACACATAGAGCTGTTGACGCGGTGAGATTACACATAGAGCTGGTGGCGCAGGTGAGATGCACACACATAGACTGTTGACGCAGGAGAGGGATTCACACACATAGAGCTGTTGACGCAGGTGAGATTACACACACATAGGCTGTTGACGCAGGTGAGGATTACACACACATAGAGCTGTTGACGCAGGTGAATTACACATAAGGCTGTTGACGCGGGTGAGATTACACACACATAGAGCTGTTGACGCAGGGAGATTACACACACATAGACTGTTGACGCAGGTGAGATTACACACACATAGAACTGTTGACGCAGGTGAGGATT